TGTTTGATGTGATCATAGGCAGTCATAATATTCTGGATTGCCAGAGGAGGCACTTGTAGTTGGGCTTCCATGATTGGGTGCAGGGTGTGAACTCAGGGTAACAATGATGGTGGCGACAACAGCAGCAATGGCAAGGCAGTGAAGTTCGGGATGAAATGATGGACCAAACACTTGCTTACTAAGCAGATGGACAAAAAAGGAAGGTGTACGTGTGATATCACATGCCACTGCCTCACTTTGAGATTTTTGCCCACCCAACCACTCCATCTACCATCTAGCAATGGTTTCTCCTACAGCAGCTACATGCCACTTCACTCTCGAGAGATTCGGCCCAGCAGCGCTCGGAACCCCGGATTATAGGCCAGAAAACACTTTGAATGAGACCCCGGACATCCTTAATTTGGGCAGCGGACACCTATTCCGCGCGGATGCCTACTTAGGAAGCGGCAAGCGCTAACGCCACACGCGCGCTCAGCCGCATCAGGCGCGCGCGTGGCCGAATTTTCTCAGCCCACGTGGCCGAATTTTCTCAACCCACGTGGCCGAATTTCGAGTCCTGCCACATTATCTCACTATCCTCGGATTTTCGTCCAGGGTTGTTTTTACATAGTATTGTCCGGTGCCAGCCGCCATAAGTGCACGGTATACGACGACTTCTCGGGCTCGACATCTATTCCCGTCCTGAACCCATGCTCATGGTCGGACTTGGATAACACCGAGTGCGCGTGGTGCGATAAGGTGACGGTGCTGCATATGCAGCAACAGCGGTGGTATTCGGCAGCGGAGCCGCTCGCAAATGGGACAATCGCGATTATCGACTGCTTCGTCGAAGGAGGCTACATCAACAGGAACTACCCGAACGAGGATCCGGAGTTCGAGGGCGGCGCAGCGAACCCGACATACGAGTTCTACCCTAGCACAGCCTAGCACGGTGAGGCGACGGTGATGAACTTCATGATCAAGACATCCGGTCTCAACTCGTATGCGCATGCGTACATGATGGCGTCCGGCAGGATGTTCCTGCGAGCGAACATCTCCACTAGTGAGTGTCGCGTTGTCAGTTTGACAGATATGTTGCCGACTATATGTCTCTTGCAGTTCTCTGGGAGCCAGATACGAACACGCAGTACGATCTGCCCGACATGCCGGACAACCTCGCCCGCGTGCACCCCGCCTCCGGCGCTACGGCGATGATGCCGCTGACGATTGCTAACGATTACACACCCTCTGTTCTGTTCTGCGGCGGCACGGACATGGACGACTACGCGTGGGGGAACTACTCACCGCCATTCATCAACACGTTCTACTACCCCGCCTCGGCCAGGTGCCACTACATCACTTCGGAGTCACCTGAGAGCGAGGAAGCCACCAACGCTAGCGTCGCAGATCGCATAGACTCTCTGGACGAGGCAGGCGAAGGCTCTGTTGAGGACATGGTCGACTCCGCTTGTGATCGAATTGAACAGCAAGATTTCATCACCGCGTCGGACGATGAAGAACCGGTCGATGACACTGCTGGGTCGTCTTCGCCCGATATGAGCGTCGTGGCCCAGAACCGGCGTGCATGTCGCCTCGCGCGTATGCGCGCATACAATTCACGCTATCTATCTCCCGATCGCTACTGGGGACCGTTCCTCGCCATCAAGGACAACGAGCCTGCAGATGCCATATGCGAAGACGGGTGTGCCGAAGAGGAGGACATGGCACAGTATCTGGACTACGACTATTCCAGCAGCAGTGACGAGGAAGACGAAGAGTGCGCTCCGTCCGACTCGCCCGAGAAGCCCGTGAAACTACTAGATGAGGCTCTGTTGCTCCCCGACTGGGCATACCTCGCGGCCGCGCGGATCGTCGTCGAGGCGAACCTGCGCGAGGCGGTCGGCCGGAACAGTTCAGTGGGCTGACCATGCTCGAAAGCCTGCGTGCGGGCAGCGCCCCAATGGATATCAGCACGAGCGTGTTCAGTTCGCGACGTGTGGAAAAGCAGGTCAGCGGTTTGGCTGGCGCTTCAGTCCCCTCGTTGTTAGGGGGTGCATCCACGAGCGACGGGTGGGACTGGGCGGGCGTTATGGGAGTGTGTAGGTGCGTTGTGCGTTGCGCGAATCTGTTACGTCGCTCACGTACGCTGATTCGTAGACGATGCATATGCTGGCTTGACTATCGTGATTTGAGAAGTGAGTGACACCACATGAACGGCGGCCCTACTTTGCTCATCATCATACATCCAGCGCATAACGTGTGTATTTCCGATTGCGCGTCTTCACTTTCGCTTACGCCTCTCGTCTAGCTTTCAGGCGGCTTCAACGACCCACAGCTCACGGAGGCGGTCCGCATCGTGCCAATGCGCCTCCGCGTCGTATCCTACTCGCCCTCGCCATCACAGCATGCCGCAACCAACCGACCATCCACATCGCGGGCGAGACATCGGGCTTGGCGATGACTGGGCAGCCGTGCAAGCTTAAGGGCGCCGTGCGCGCGCTCGCGGATGGCAGCATCCGGTGGACGATCATCGTGGTACGTGCACGTTCTTGCGTTCGCGTGTGTTTGCTGATGCAGACGTGTGTGGCAGACTGGCCAACACGACGGCGACCCGGACGAGTGGACGAGCGAGAGCGTGCAGATTGGGGGAGTGACGTCTGCGTCGATGGGCGTGCTGGGCATCTGGACGGGCGCGCAGCACGAGAAATCGGATCCCCTAGGTGAGCATCGCATTCCCATTTCCGCATGCCATATGTTTATGTTTTCTTATCTTTCGCGAAGGCCCCTTCTGGGCATGGAAAGTAGGTTAGAATACCTCCGACGTCTTCATCTCGACAATATGTATGGGTTATCTATTCGTGTGCGGACGACTTAGGCTGGAGTACTTACTCCTATGTAGCTGGATGTGTCTCGTTATGCGTGCGTTGATTTTCGCATTGTTGTAGTTGCTTTCAAATTTTATTCGTGCTATGTCTCCGAGTCCGCTGTGTGAAGTCCTGATATTTTTCGCCGTTGTGCTACACACGTATCGGCAAATCACATTTTAATAGTTCCATAAAACTACAAAACGCAGTCGCAAGCCCCACGTATGCATTAAACTGTACCCTACGATTGAACTAGTCACCAACTACATCATGCGCCTGTCCATGTATCATTCTTGCTGCTCGACCCGAAGCTAGCACTGGTCGCTATGATTAGTGACCGCGCAATCAGCATAGCTCATCCGGCGGTCGCCATTGACCACCACAGCTGTAGCGTTCGCGTTCATACTCATACCTCGGTGGGCCAGAGCGAGGGGACAGTAGATTGTCATCCACGCGCCGCTATCACCGACCATTGTCATAGGCTCTGTGCCGCTTCGGCTCTTTGTAGTCGTAGTCACCGTGCGGCGGCCTGGGGGGGTATGGTCGCCTGATAGATGGATGTTGATGGCGCACTGCTTCGTCGCCGTTCAATGGAAGGGCTGTCATGCGTGCCATTAATGATTCTTTGAGGTGTTTGCCGCGTGGCGGTGGAAAATCAGTGGGAGCGATGGGGGAGGATGGTTTTGGCTCGCGGTAGTCCATACTGCTATGCCTTGGCAATGGCGTGCTGTTGGGCTGGGGCATTGTTGGCTGTATTCCTGTGGTGCAATCAATCTCAATAAATTATGTCACAGCTGGATTATCTGTACCGTGTGATGGTCTCGATAATTGAGTCACTATCGTCGAGGCTCTTTCCGGAAGAGCAGATTCCTTTGCAAGCCTGATTGAGGCTAGCCTATCAAAAGCACTGGACGGCAGAGGTGGAGGAGTTGCCGCGGGAGGACGTGGCATGGCTGGTGACGCAGGACGTTCTGTTTTAGTTTGCAGCTTGGGAAGGGCAGATGGTGGGGCCATCGAATGTGCCTGAGAGGCAGTGACGACCGAGGTGTAGGATTCCACTCGCTTCTTCCTGTCAGGGACTTCGCCATCCTCGCCGTCCTCCTCGTTCCGCTTCCTCTTAAGCGGCCGGAGCTTAGCAGCGGCGAGATGCTTCGGATCAGGCTTCATATCTGACGGCTTGAGATCGCGAATAAAGTCGATCATCGCGTTCAGCACGCGCTGGTTCAGCCGGATGTCGACCTCCCTCGCGCGGATGTCCTGACGCATGCCTTTGATCGCCTCCGCGAGTTGTGCAAGCATCATCTTGTACTTGTGGTTGTGGATGAGTGCGACAGTCGCTATGAACTCAACTGGCGCGAGCTTCTTGACGTCGGGGATGCGGAACGCGGCGCTGTACGCGTCGTCCCGCGCGAGCATCAGGAATATCTGATACGTCTGGTGGACCTGATCCTGAAACTTGCTGTCAGGTTCGTCGGGGCGCGAGAGCACTTTCTGCAACGTCGGAAAAGGGATTGCGTTGTTCGCAGACGCCAGATTATCCATGAGGATTACAGACGAGGTGATACAGCGGAAATCGCTCCCGCGGTGCGTGTCCCAGGGGAGCAGTACCGCGAGGCCTTCGGCAACGTAATCATTTTGCAGGTCGCGCACAAACGTCGCCATAGGGCTTTTCGTGGCTTGCAGCTTCTCTGTGTCAGATACGTGTTAGTGACCCTAATGATCATTGCAGTGTGAGTACGAACCTGCGGGCGTAAGAGCCATGCCGAGTTGAACTCGCTTTTGTAACGTGAGAAGTGGACACTACGGAGAGAAATGTTGGCATACCTGGAAGATCTCCCTCTCACAGTCATTAGTTAAATCCTGGTATTCTATGCACACCTGGGAGACAATATCAGTTGATTTTCGACAGTCGATTGATCAAACACTTTATACCGTTTGCTTGTTGCGGAAGATCTTCTGGTAGCGCTCTGGAAGCAGTCGTATGCTTTTGAACTTGCCAATGTCTTTGTAAACTAATCTCTCTCCAGTAAATCTGTGGCGGTAGGTTTGCACTCAAAGGGATGGACATGTGGAACGTGAACTCACGAATCATTATCTGCATAAGGCGTGACCATCAGAAATATTACAAATGATTCGGATTTAAAGGCCTACAGTAAATCTGGCGTCCCATCAGCGTCTGAACAGGCGACAGTGTACAATGAACTCACTTCGCCGTTTAGGAATCTGCAACAGAGGGGAAGTCAGCTGCTCTGCAGCGTCGTGAATGCGGAAGCCTTGCATTACCTGAATATAGATGTCAAATGCTGCTTCCCGTCGATGCAGACCCTCCGTTCGGAACTGTCTTCACGATATACCACGGCTGTGGCGCAGGATAAGAAACGGATGCTATGTCTTCAAAGGGTCGCACATACCGAAGATGAGGGGAGGAACATAAAAGTTCCTTAGAATGGAGTCGATCAACCCTGGTCGGGACGAGTTAACCTAGTCTGGAGTTCAATATGAGGGACCGTACCTATTTGCTTAGATTCGGGCCATACCACCTCTTGAAACGATGTTTGGAACCAGTCAACAGCACACCAATGGACCAATCAGGTTGTACTCACCAGGCTGATAGTCCGGCGAGAGATCAATGTCGTTGCTTACAATTTGTTCTGAGGAATTTTGCGTCGGCGGCTAGGACGAGACGGTCGTGGCGAACGCGTACCGTACAAAGCCTGTGTGGTGTAGCTCGTAGTGCGGTACGGCTTCAGCGCTCCCCGAATTCTGTACTCGTCATCGTCTTCATCTCCAATCCCCTTTCGCTTTGCACTCCTGCTGGCACGCGAGGACAGAGTGACATCGTCCTCGTCGACGAAGTCATCGGAGTCAGACATGCTTGAGAAATCGCAACAAGACGAGGACACGAGTAGGTGAGCAGTATATCCCAGGAATATTGAAGGGGAGAAATAGGTAGGACGAGGTGAGTTGGGCGCAACTGTCGGGATCAACAGCTGTTCCAGAGTTCTGAGTAAGTGGCTCGCCGTCGACAGACC